ATATTAGATATATTTATTAAATTATATATAAGTGCCATTCTGTTCCACAATCCTTTCTTCATCTTTAAGTATAACCTCAAAATTTCTTCCTTCAAAAACTTTCCAGGTTCTTTTAGCAAAAGAACTTTATGCCATCTACCGAAAATTTGTACGAACTTTCCGGAAAACCCAATATAATTAAACATGTATACCAAGTTCTTTTATTACAAAGAATAAATTGCACATGAACAATGTTGATAGATATTTTTGTATATTTAGCAATCTCTTAGAAAGAAAAAAAAACCCGATTTAATCTTCGTAACGTAGAAAAAGGGAAAAGAAAAGCTGATGAAAAATCTGTGTATTGGGGGACACTTGATCAAAAAAGGGGAAAAAGGTAAACAACAAAAAGGAAACTCTCCTTTTAACATAAGTGTGGATGTTTGTGTGTAGTAGTTATTCTTTCGTTTCCAAGTTTGGGACACGTTTTGCGTAAGAAAAAAAAAAAGAGAAAAATAGGAGATGTTTAGGAGGGTTGAATTTGCCACGCGCTTAAGTCAACAAGATCTTCGTTTTACGAGTTGAACGAACGCGAATAATAAAAAGAAAAAAAAGAAAGGGAATAGCATTTGACGATGGGCTTTCAAATTCGTGAGCACGCAACGAATGTTTTGAGAAAAATCAACTCTCGGTACTGACGTTTTTTCATTTAAACGCGAGAGATAGAGATAGATACATACACACACGTACACATACAGAAAGAGAAAAAGGTGGAGGGGGTAGGGGGTTAGTAGGAAGAAAGGGAGAAAGATCGTAGTAGCATCACCTGACAGCCCGAAGCGTTGAAAATGTGAAAGGATATTTGGTGGAGGACTCTCACTATGTTTGCGGTCCTCAAGATCAATAGGGGGATCGGTATCGATCTTTAGGTTGTAAGGGATCTATTTACCGATGCGCTAAAGGTATGATCGAAGAAGGATTTCGTCGATAGAGTGGAACCCCATTCATCTTATTCAAGTTAAAAACTTTCTATGTAAACCGAATAAGTATTTCGTGGGTGGGAAAGTATAACGTGAAAACGTGTTTGATAATGGTACACAAAAAATAGCGTAAAGTTATTTGTCGAGTTACTTTATTATTATTATAAAAGAAAAATATTATTGTTTAGGATTTAGTATAATAAAAGAATGAAAAATGTGAACCTTGTGTTTTGGATTATTTTTTAAAAGCTGCCAACCAGGCATCATCGTCGTTCGATGGTTTTGGTTACTTTTTTTTTATCGCTAGAAGGTAAGAAAATCAGAATTTATTTTAATAGAGTTAACAAAGGCAATCAAGAGCAAATGGATTGTAGGTGAAGCAAATTGCAATTTCCTTAAGCGCGAAGAGAGATATCGAATCTTGTCTAGTAGTGGTAGTAGTATGGAGTTATAGACACCATCGATCCATATAACGTCGTCGCTAGGTGGAAACCACTTAGAGACAAGGCCAAAGTTAGGTCATCGCATCGGATTATTAGGTAATTAGGGTAAGATGGTCCTTGTGACCATCTCTCGATGATGGAGGAGGAGCCCACTCGGGTTATATGCGCGTGACTACCTCCTACCGATAGACAAACACATGGGCTAGATTACACGGCGCTCTCGGGCACTTGCATAGGAGGATATATGCAATTTAACTGGTAATTTCGAACTTACATCGGCTTAACTTTGGTGCTGGATGGATGGTAATAATGTAGTAGTTAAATTGCATCACACAAGCGAGTTTAACGCGTTATAACGTGACGTGCCCTGGAACAAAGTAGATTACCGATGGATTTTCTTACCTGCCAACTTCACTGTTAACCGTGTAAAGCTTGGCTTACGAACCGAGTAATAATATTTTTCCATAAGACGAGAGAGAGATTGAACTATGGTTATTGTTCAATCGTAGTATGTATAACCTTTTATACATTATCGCAAAGAAAATATCAATTAAGATTGGTCGAATACTTTTATAACAAGTTCTTGAAAGATCACTTTTTATTCAAATTATAAAAGTATCTTAATGATATTCAACTTTAATAAACGATACAAATTAATTGACCCAACTTTCTACATCATCCTATCAGATAAAGATATTTCTTTATAGCAAATCAGAACACAAGCAATCGTTGGATACTGAAATACTTTGAGAATTAATCCCTTCCTTTTTTACTCTTTTAAAATCATTTTCTAAGAAATAATAAGAAGAATATAATAAAATCAAATCGCTAGGAGTACTATTATATTTTCGATGCACGTTGCAATTGCAGCAGTCAGGATATTATCGGATATTCTTGTTAGATCTTGGATATACCACGAGTAAAACGACGAGGACGAAGAGGACTCGTTGTAGAACTCTCCTTACTCTTTCCTTCATTTCTCGACCCTAAGCCGACCCTAAGCGTATCGGGCCCGCCTCGTTAATTGTACAACATGGTAGTGGGGTGGAGTGGGGGTTCGTCGTTTGTCGATCTTCCCATTCTCGCCCATTTCTTACTCCTTCCCATTTCTTCTTGTCCTGATCAGTGATTCACGAAGCAGCAACATGGATGATATACCCCGAAGGGTCGTTTTGGCTTTTTCTTGGGCGTTAATATAACACCGGTGCTTCCTGCTTCTCGATTGAGTCACGATTTTAACATAGGCGTGGTAGGTTGTATATTTTCTTGCTAAGAAAATGGATGCTTCGATATTTCTCTCTCTCTCTTTTGAGTTAGTACTTTCGATAAAAGAGGATGGTTACAAAAGCGTGATGGCTGCCACAAGTCAATGTCGGCTATGAAACTTTCTGGTAATAGTATACGATCGATTCGATCGTCAACCCAAAAGGGTTGCAGTTTCGGCATCGAGGATGATTAAAGCGAACGGGGAGGGGGCTTTGGTTTGTTGACAAATTAGTCGATATAGCTTCACTTTGCTAGTCGATATCGGTATACATATATATGTTGCTACTAAAACTAGTTATTAAATTACAGTTTTTTTTTATATTTTTTAAGTACCCCGATAAAAGATCATCTTTAGGATTATCAGTAAATTAAATAAGATAGATAATAAATAAGAACATTATGGTTATAAAATATATTAAATCGATGATAAAGTATACAAAAGGATAGGAAACACTATGAATGTAAAATAGAATTCAATAAATGACGACAAAGTTCAGATGACGAACAGATTTAACGGGATAGATGAGAAAACGTTAGATATTCCCATGTGAATTCCCAAAAGAGGTTTTGGTAGAAAATGAAAGCGTTCGAAGAAGAAGAGCAAGAATAAAGAAGATATAAAAAGAGTGGGGAGGGGGGTATAAAAAGGTGGGCGCGAAAAGCGGGGTTGGAAAACAGAAGCGCACTCGTGTCTTGGCACATCCCTGACGGATGGATGTTTCTGCTGCTGTTGCTGTTTCTGTTGCTGGCTTGCTCCACCCTTAGCCTTCTTCGTCTTCTTCATCTTGGATCTTTCTTAGGGAATCTGGAGAGGGGAAAATAGGATGAAGGAATGGATGAAACGACGTCGACAACGTTGGACGACGAGGACAACGACGATGACGGGTGCTGTGTAGTTACCGTGGTGGCGCGTTTTACTCAACGTACTATCCTCTCCTCAGTTACCCCTACCTATGTCTCGATTGGATCGGTCGTGAAGAGAAGAGAAGAGAAGAGAAGAGAAGAGAAGAGAAGAGAAGTGAAGAGAAGAGAGAGAGGGGAACATCGATTGGTCATGCGCAGAGTATGTCGTATCTGTGAGAGGGCTGAAGTGGGGTTTGAGGAGGGGTTGGTTCAAGAAGGGGAGCTAGCTATTCGCTCGCGTGTCTCTCTCTCTCTCTCTCTGTCTCTCATGTGTGTATAGGTTTATCTATGGGTATTTACAATGTAGATGTATGCGTAAGTTTCTGTCTATATATATACACCTGTGTATACATATACATATGCATATATACTGGTAAATATGTATCAGGGGTGTGTACTTATATGCACATACTTGTACGTATGGTTCTATGCATGTTCCTCCCCCCTCATAGACACACACAAATATATGTGTAGTATATTCGTATAGTAGTAGCATGGTCGCATTAGGTTGGGTTTGGTTCTCCTCGTCTCCTCCTGGTTTATAGCGCTATCCCTTTCTAGCGGTGGTAGGCGCTTGGGCAAGGCACGCAGAAAGGGCATGCAGAGGAACTACGGACGCGCAGGGTCGGTCGCGTTGCCGACTGGAGGCGGAGGCACCACACCCCCGACAGGGGGGGCCGCGCATAGTCGCTCAGATGAATCCGTTGCTGGTGGTGGTGGTAGTTGTGGTTGATGGTGGTGGTGATGGTCGTGGCGACGACGACGTCGACAACGACAACGACAACGACTACTACTACTAACACTAGGTAGAAGAAGAAGAAGAGGAGGTAAACGGGGAGGAAAAGGAGGTGGTAAAGGGGCAGGAGGATGAGAGGGGAAAGCGTCGCGGCGCCTCTCTTGCCTCGAGCGCAGTGCGACGTCGCGACGCGCCACGTGCGGTGCTACATACACCAACGGGAAGAGAATACGACTTATGAAATTCGTTTCCTTTCTCTTCTTCTTCTTCTTCTTCTTCTTCTTCCTCCTCTTCTTCTTCTTTTTCTTCTTTTTCTACTTGTTCTTCCTTTTCTTCCGTATCCTATCGTTTGTCTTCTTCATTTTCATTTACGTATTTGTTTTATTCCGTTTTTGTATTATCTTATCAAAATATCCTATTAATAGTTGTTTTAACCACCACCGTGTTTCTCTTTTTGATTGACTCCAATTCGTTGAGAATTGACGAATTTTTTGTTGTTGTTGGTTACATTGATAGTGAACATAGCCATTTTAAAAACTATTTCTATCGTTGATAAAGAGTTCTCAAGTTACTCTTATTTGTATCGTCGAATTTAAATTCATTCGTCGAGGGAATTAAAAAAAACAACAACACAACGACAAGAACAAGAACATTTTCGTAAAAGAAAATGAGAGTGTGTTACTACTACTACTACTAAATCTAGACGTGTTAAAGAACCAAAAAATAATTWAAAAAAAAAAACATAAAACAGAACAAAAAGACGAAACGAGGAATCACTGGTGGGTGGTGTGGGTGATTTTGAAATCTGCTCTATGAGAAGAGAAAGGGTTAAAGAGAGGTTCGTAAACAAAAGAAAAAAAGAAAAACAAATGAGAAAGAGAGAGAGATAACAGACAAATTGGCAGACAAATGGACAAACCAACAAATAATTTTTGTATAAAAAAAAATAAAATAAGATGAACCCGATTGAATTTAGAATCAATCGAAATTAAATCTGTCTCGAAGATATTGGGGTTAAGAGGATACTCGTTTACGTTTCTCTCTTTCTCTCTCTCTCTCTCTCTCTCTCTCTTTTGCAAGGAGAAGGAGAGAAGTCGTGCGCGCGCGCGCAAGTGCGTTAGTGTGTTAGTGTGCATGCCTTGTTCTTTTTCTCTCTCACAATCAGCCACAGAGAGAGAACAGCAGCCACCGCGCGTCGTGAATGTGCGAGCTTTTACAAACGAACTAAAACGCATCGGTTTTTGTTGCTCCTTTTTTGTTTTTCTTTTTTTATGTTTTTTTTTAATTATTATTATTATTTTTCCTTTTACCACCTGATCGAAAAGAGAATCTGGGAGCAAGAAAGTAAGAGAGAGGGAAAAGGTTTTTTTGTTTGTACTTTTTTTCATTCACCGTCGGTGGACTAGAGTTTAATTTCAACTAAACTTCATCGAAAAACACACGTTCGGTTCACCTAAACGCAACCATACTACTATTCTCAATCTAAAATTAGTTTACATGATCTTTTTTCTTACTTCTTTATTGTGAAAACGTACGCACATAAAATATACACATTAATATACCTATGCGTGCATTGATTTATTTTATTGTTTATTTGGTAATTAATTCTCGTGAAATTTTTGTTTTTTGTTTTTACGAGAGAAGAAGAAAAACACAAGTGAAATTACAAGGTGAGTTAAAATTAATTCGCGTTACAATTTTTTTAAAATATCGAATCGAAAATACGTGAACACAACATTCGATGTTTCATATTTTATTTTTTCGTTCATTTAATGTGATTAGAGAGTGTGTACATTTGTGTGTGTGTATCTGTGTGAGATAAGTGACAAAGTACCGTGAGATTAACATCTCATTTCTATAGTGAATTTATGAAAGTCATTGAGTGTGAAGAGAGAAGTATTATAAAATCGTTTTCTTTATCTGTTCTCTCCTCGTTTTTGCACGAGTTTAACACAACAACTCTCGCGTCTGTTTATTTTGATTTATTTACATTTGTATTATTTGAGAGTAATGATACGTTACTACTTCATTGTTAAAACGTTTGATTTATAATACTCGTGTCAGATTTCATAGAACCCTGTTATCGTCGTTTTAATCGTCGCGAATATTTTAGTATTTATCATGTGTGTGAGATCGTGTGCAAAATAATAAAAAAATGAAAACAACAAAAACACATAATTCAAATTTGTATTAATCGAAGTAATTATTGATACTACGTATATTTATTTGATTTAATTTGTTTCGTTAAATTGTTGTTGTTTGTTTTTCGATATATCATCGTAATTTAAAATGTTTAATTACGCGTTTATGAAAATACAGAAGTTAATGAAATTTTTGTTTAATTTTTGTTTAATTCGATAAACAGTGTAGTTTTAGATATTAATCTTAATAATTGTGTTACAAAAATTGTTTTGACAACATTGGAAATTATATAATTTATAATTTCTTATATAATTTATATAATTTATATTATATTTTTATATAATTCTTTTTATTTCTTCTTAATACTTTTTAATAAATCACAAAAATTCGTGTTACCTGGAAAAATGTGTGCAAAGATATCACTGTAGTTTAAAGTACCGCCGTATTGTCGTACAACTTCTTAATATAGTATACTATCTTCACTTTACCAAACAATTTATAATTAAAAGAAATTCTAATAAAACAGGCCCAAAAATGAAAAAATCACAAAGTACGTTTTCGATCACGAAAGAACGAACGAACATTCAAGAAAATCACAGAATATATTTTTCTTTCATTTCCTCCCGCGTAATTGAAACCAAAAAAAAAAAGAAAAAATGGCGCGCGATATAATCGAACGGGAAGGGGAGGGTTTGCTGGGAGAGTTTGGAGTTGAAATTCAAAGAAGTTCCTTTTCTCTTTTTTCAAATTTCTCCAATAAACATTTAGGAATAAAAAAAAGATAATAATTATATTTCGAAAAAAAAATAATAAAAGATGAACAAAAATATAATTTAAAAAAAACACAAAACAAAAAATTGAAATTGGTATGGAAAAAAAATTAAAAAAAAAAAAAATAAGAAGAAGAAGAAGAAGAAGAAGAAGTAGAAGTAAAAGAACGAATATAATAATAAAATAATTATAAAAATAATAATAATAATAATAATAATAATAATCGTGACGTGTAAGTCCAGAATGTGTTTCTTCTCTTCGTTCTCTTCGTATTCTTCTCTTCTTTCCTCTCGTGGGTATCTTTTCGTTTTGTGAAAGTGTTTGGAATTAAAGAACGGCCCGTGTAGCACCTCTGGGAGCCGTATTTAACTTTGCTTAACTAAGTTCTGGATCCGTTGACGCGACGCCCGAGGGATTCGGGACGACGACTACGACGACTACGACGACTACGACGACTACGACGACGACGACGATGACGACGACTACGATGAAGATTCACCTTTTTTTTTTATTTTTTTTTATTTTTTTTTACTCGTCTTCTACCTTCCCTTACCTCACTCACCCCTTTCCTCATCGTCGTCGTTCATCAACGCTACCATCACTCATTTTCTCTCTCTCTCTCTCTCCCTCACACTCATTCTTTTACTTTTTATTTTCCTCTAAAACGACGTCTTATCTCTCTTTCTTCATTTTGCCAAATTTGTTCCTTCCTGTCCCCCCTCTTCATCTCTTCTAATCCCCTCTGTCATTTTCTGTAACCATTCGAAGGTTTCCGGATCGTATTTTTTTACTTATGAAAAGTTTTTTCTTACAATTCAATTTTCTTTTCGCGGTTACGATTATGTTTTATGTATTGCTTGGTATTCATGGTTTTTTTTTTATCGTTATGGTGTTATTTTTTTTTATTATTCAAAGTTAAACAACATAAAATTTATAATGTGTTATACTTATGTTTATTTTTGATTATTTAAGATGAAACACAGGTATATGTCTTTGTCAATGATCAAAATACGATTTTTCTATTAAATTATTGTAATTTTTTTTATATTCATGGTGTTATTTTTTTTATTATCCAAAGTTAAACCACGTAAACTTAATAATATGTTATACTCATGTTTATTTTTAGTAATTTAAGATGAAACACACACGTTTATTCCTTTGTCAATTATCGCAATTCAATTTTTCCTATTAAATTAATTATTCGAATGATATATATTATATTGTATTATATTTGTTAATATTATTTTAGAACAGATAATAAAAGATTGAATTTGTTTCAGGACAATCGAGAAAAATTGGAATATACCGACGGGAAAATGTCGCTAATCGATGGTCTCAGGACGTGAGTGAGATAGTTGAAGTATTAAAGTGCCAATAAGCGAATGAAAAAACTTCCATCCCTGATTACGATAAGAAAAAAAACAACAACAATACGGAGGATTTCAACAATATGTCTTACCTAGCTTTGGACTCCAACGCATGGCAGGTAAGTTTTTAAACATTTTCATTACTTCATCTTCATTAACATCACTATCATAACATTATTACATATTAAACAATAAATTAAAAATCTGTAATAAAGTTAAATGCAAGATTAAAATTAAAATTAGAATAAGTAAAAGTAATAATATCGATCGAAAATATAATCGATGATCGAAACTTTAATCGAATCGTCTAGAATAATCTTGGATCGAACTATAATCGTTCCCTTATTCGAGATCATAGCCCGGAGACCCTTTAGCATCGGACTATAACTTATTTCTCAGCTTCAAGGATGGCAAGGTGAATCTTTCTCTCTCTCACTCTCTCTTGGGTTAGAGCATTATTACACGGTTTTCACCGAGAAGATATTGAAGAGCCGACGCCACGTTTTAAACGTATTATCTCCCCGTGAATACATCCGGAACATCCAGATTCGCTTCTGTCGGATGTCGCATGAATATTTATACGATGAATATTGAGAGCTACTACTACTACTATTAGTAATACTACTACTACTAATACTAGTACTAGTACTGCTATTAAACGTGACTCGTGAGAATTTCATTTTCCTTTGCAAGCCAGTTGCTACTATCATCTTACCCATTATGAGTATTCAAATATTTGATCTTCATATGTTTTCCGATATAGCACCCAGAATTGCCAAAGGATGAGGAAGTTTAACACGAACCTAGTCAACGTTTATGATGAATGGATTGTATATCCTCAACGATTGACTATGTCTTTATATAGAAAAATTCAGTGTCACATTGTTGGTTTCCAATGAAGTTCGAAACTACTCAACAGATCTTAATGAAATTTCTTTTTATTTTGTGTAATTTTTTTTATCAATTTAGATAGGCTAGTTTTTATCGCGTTTATTTTGTATTTTTTATCGCTAATTTAATATCCCTACTTCTGTGTTTTTTTTTATTTTTTTTAATTATATTTCCAATTTTATTGAGTTGTACGTAAAGTTCGTGCCAATTTTAATTGAAGATTGAAATGCAACGCATTTATATATTTATTATATATTATATTATTATATTATAATACATATTTTTATTAAATTATATATAAGTGCCATTCTCTGTTCCACAACCCTTTCTCCATCTTTAAGTATAACCTCAAAATTTCCTCCTTGCAGTTTTTAGCAAAAGAACTTTATGCCATCTACCGAAAATCCTCACGAACTTTCCGGACAACCAAATAAAATGCTAAATTTTGTCGTTTTTTTTCAACTTTATTCAAAATAACTGATAATAGTTCAATATATGATTGCACACAGGGTGTGCAATGATGATCACGAATAGGGTTAAAATATTCTTTACAACTTAATTGTAAACAAGAAATATGAACGAGACCATATTATTCGATATTAATAAATTAAATAATTATATGCGTGTTTGAATAAGCGCAGTATGAATATATATTTTATATATGATATTTTACAAGTAGGTACGTAGAAGAGATATCATCCGACGTTTTCTTCTAATATAAAACCGTTTCCTCTTCCGATGATCTTGAATCTTGTAAGAACACTCGGGGCGAAACACGTGATACCGTTAGACAGATAGAAAACGGTTTATCTAGGAATTTTCTCTTTTTATCGTAAATATATATACACACAATATATATATATATATATATATATATATATATATATATATATTTACTTATTTGTAATTAAACGGGAATCGTTATAGGATTTACAAAGTAAAGAAGATTAAATATAAAAAAAAGGAAAAAGCATTGAATACTTTCCTAATTGCTTTTTTTATTTTCTATTTTTTTCTTGTCTCGATTATCATCACTTCTTTAAACTATCATCTTCCGCGATCGAAGGACGAACAAGAAGATTTCTTCTCCGCCTTCGTAAGCTGAACGGACCAACCACTTGTCCGATACGGATCAACCTTCTCTCCACCCATCTCTTTCTTGTTTTTTTTTTATTTTTTTTTTTTTATAACTAATACGTAGCACCGAGGTTGCAGTCATTATCGGGCTAAATTAGTGACGGTCAATCCGCGTTCCGCATGCGAGAGAGTAAGAGAGAGAACGAGAGAGAGAGAGATGGGAGGAACGAGTTTACGTGATTACGCGTGCGTAACATTGAAAAAGAGTCGAAAGGGAAGGTTAGGTAATGCACGCACGCGATCACGAAAGCTTTCTCTCACCAAACTAACACAACGTTCATTTGTTACTTAAAGAACCCTTTTTCTTGTATCTACCTAACATATAAGTCTTTGTTCTTATTTACATAGTTAACCCTTTTGAGTACACGAAGCTCACGTAACAATTTCAATCGTTAAGAAATAGTTTTTTTCTTCTACTAATGCAAATTAATTTACTTAAAATAAAAAGTAAAAAGAAAAAAAAAAGAAGAGAAAGAAAGAATTTTACGAAGTAAAGAAAGATAGAAACAAATTGATAAGAGAATGATAAGCTTCTTTCAATTTTTGTTGGGTGTAGGTGTACATGAAGTTCGGAATACTCAAAGGGTTAAAGGATAATACGAAATAAAAGTTAGGTTTTTTTATTGTTACTTTTTTTTTTTATCGATTTTCAACTCTATTCAAATTACGATAAATACAAATAGAAAAAAAACCACTTATAGTATTTATATATATTATATAATTTAATAAAATTATTATATAATGTAAATTTAATTATTAATATAATTAATTAAATATTAAAATATTATAATTAAATTAATATTATAATTTAATATTAATTTAATATTGCATTTAATTATATTAATATAATTAAATTTATTTAATTAAATTTATATACTTTATATTATATATATAGGATAGTTTATTGATTTACAGGATTTTTCTTTTTATTTTTTTACAAAATGCTACCGTGGATGAAGAGATACGCATTCCTCGAGAAAGAAAAAAGAAACTAAAAAAAGCACAAACTATCAAGAGAGATAAAGATAGAAAGAGAAATACTAGAAAGTTATTTTCTACTATTTTCTTTTCTACTATTTTATTTTCTCCATAGCAGTATACCGTTTGATCAATTACGTCGTCTAAATGCGTAGCGAAGTTGAACATGAGAAACATTACTCTGTCAGTGAAACAAATTAACCATGATTCTTGTGTATAGGGGGTGAGACGAGGGGGATTCTATCCGTTAAGTCGTTGTAGAAAACTACTAGCTAGAACTAGAACTGTTATTGGTAGAAAAAAAACAGAAACATATAAAAAAACCAAAAGGAAACAAAAAAATGGAACTAAAATAGGGCAAGTTAATCTATGGTACATGTTAGACACAGTATGTCATGGTATCGAAAACTATATTTACTTGTTCCCCCCTTAATATTCACGTTGGTGGGATGTGTTCAGTCCCCGGAAATCATATAGCCACGGACAGGAAATGTAAAAGGTCTATATCATGACGACGTTGGGATAACGGAAACGAGTTTAGGTAGGCTCCTATTGGATTATGCCCCTGTTACCCTGAGTTCCTCTAGTTTTACCTATGCCTTTGCTAAAGGAAAGATCCCCCACCCCTCTCCCGACTAACGCACACACAGATTTACCTACTATGACGTTGTTGAACGTCGTTGCAACGTACTTGTCTCGAATATAACTTTGCCATGACTAAAACCTGATTTAAACTAACTCGTTTCTCTGCAATATTATCTTTACCCGAGTGACACACGGCGTCAAATGAATGGGAGATTTCTTCTCTAGTTTGTTCTAAAATGTTTAAAGATGATAGTACGCGACACACAACAAATATCGTTTTATTATTTCTTTTTTAATGCACACATTTCGTTCTCACACGTAAAATTAAATTATCGTATTCATCGAGAACAGACGAACTCAGCTCGCGATTGCTAACTAGGCACTTCCAAATCAGGATATGCAGGACAATCATCCTACCGGTAGTTCTTTATGGTAGCAAAACGTGGTCACTTACGTTACGGGACGAAAAGAAATTGAGGGGTTTTTGAAAATAAAGTTGTTCGTAAAATGTTCGGTGCAAAACACGATGAGGAAACGGGTGAATAGAGAAAACTCCATAGTGGAAGTACACCGACTGTACAACAAACCGGACATCATTAATGTCGTAAAATCACGCCGATTAAGATGGACAGATCACGTGGCGTGCATGGGGGAGGATCGAATGGTGCATAAAATACTGGTCGGTATACCGAACGGGAAAAGACCACTGGGTAGACCGAGACGTAGATGGGAGGACAATATTATTTCGGGATCTTAAAGAAATGGGCTACGAAGACTGCGAATGGATGGGATTAAACTCAGGGATGGGAACACTGGCAGGATTTGTGTATTTGCGGCAATGAATTTTCCAGTTCCGAATGAATAATAATTCATCGAGAAAAAACATTCTATCGAATGTTTTATATTAAATCAACAATTCCCATAAAGAATCTATGGGAAAAGAAAAATCATTTCGTATTATATCTGCTACATATAGTTTTTGGAATTCATTATTTCAACGATTGGACCAACCGCAAAAACGAATAATCTTTAGTTCGGTAAAACGAAGAAGACTGGGTGAGGGAGTATGGAAAGATTAAATGGAAAAGGATAAAGAGAGAGACGGGGGGTGGTGTAAAGGGATGAAATGGCAAAGTATTTGCACATTTTCCAATAAAGTATGATCTAGTCACGTGGCAAAGCCGAGTAGCTGGTCGTGTCTTTTCTCGTTGAAATAACAAAGGGTGCTGTTATAACTACGAGAGTAGTATATATATGTTCGAGAATTAATACTTTGCTCCCACGCATCCAAAATTCGACGACAACGACGACTATGAGGAGAAAAAGATTCCTCTTCGTGTCACCGCGAATAAACAAAGCTACGAGAAAAACATCGGGGGTTGGTGGGGGGACAGGTTGGGTTTGAGGGGTGTAGGAATACAACAAGCTCGTCCGTCTATATTTCATTGGTGGTTGGCGCACGCGCACGTGTGCACGCGTGTTTTGTAGGCCCCCTTACTCCCACCCTCTTTCCCTCTTGACGTATTCA